AAATGGAAGGTCTTAACCATTGGATTGTTAAACTGCAAGATACTCACGATAATTATATTGACGCGTTAGAAGATGAAACAGTTATTGTTAATGCCAATTCATGGTACGATGCTCACGATGTAGATGTCTTTAAATTACAATCAGGTAAATCTGCTGGTTTGGAACCAACTTCGCAGCAACAACTTGTAAGTTCTTTAGGAGTTACAGATTATCAACAGCCTTTACAAACTAGTCCTCTTAGTGCATTTACGGTACCTGAGAAGGGACCCATTTACACAATACCGATAAATACTGGTGCATCACGGAGTAAGGAAGAGACTACGGCCTATGCAGCAAAACCCCATGAACACCCCTCGAGTGTACATTCTTCATCATACCCATCTTTAGCAACGACTCCTGCTGTTACGTATACTGCTCCTGATCAGCTATGGTGTCTGCCACCATCACCACCACAAGGTTGTTCGACAAGTTTGTCAGTCAAAGACAATACTTTCCAAGACATTGTGGAAATCAACGAAAACAAACTGAGTTGTCTCAGACTATTGTTAACCAGCAAGCAAGGAGTCTTTTGCCATCGAACGAGCCTCCTATGTTTTATGGTGATGCTATGGAGTATCCATTATTCATGACTGCCTTTGAGTCATTAATCGAATTATGAGAGATTATATTTTCTGGGTCAATACACGTCAGGTAAAGCAAAAGAAATTATAAACGGATGTCTACAAAGGAAAATGGAAGGATCCTATGAAGAAGCTAAGAGACTTTTAAAGAGACAATTTGGTGATCCATTCAAGATAGCTAATGCCCATATCACGAAATTGTCTTCTTGGCCACCAATCAGACCAAGTGATGGTTTAGCCGTCCAAGATTTCTCTATTGCCCCGGATAAAGCTAAGTCTGCTATAAAAGGCATGTCTCATATGGATGATTTAAACACTGCTCATGTACTGCGTCAACTGTGGGAAAAGTTACCCAAGTACCTGCGAACCAAATGGACTGAAAGGAACAATAGGACAAAAAGTGCAAAGGGAAGAATAGCTGACTTCGAAGAGTTCTCTCAATTCGTGCGTAAGCAAGCTGATCTTGCCACAGATCCTGTGTTTTCAGAGCAATGTGTTAGCCAGCCAAATCATGATGAAAAAGATAGAGGTACTCGTATTAAGTTTACAAGAAAGCCGCTTAAAAAGGAAAAAGGGACAAACCTTTCTACTGGTGTAAATCAGGAAGATAGAAATCAACAAACTGTTGTATGCTCTTTATGCAAGAAGCCTCATAACTTAAACGAGTACGAACAGTTTTTGAAGAAATCTCTGGGTGACCGTCGAGACTTTGTAGTAGAGAAGAAACTCTGCTTCGGCTGCTTTAGCGACCAGCACATTGCAAAGCATTGTAAGGAAAGGCAAACGTGCAAGACGTGTAACAAGCAGCATCCAACGTCACTACACAACCCTGATGGAATTAAGAAATCGAACGACAAAGGTGACAAGAACCAACCTCAAGAAAGACCTCAAGTTAGTAGCAATCACACTGTCATCTGCAACATAACTGAAGCTGGAGATGTGCCGATTAACATGGGTATATTGCTAGTCTGGTTGTTTCATAAGAGTAATCGAGCGAAGAAAATACGAGTTTATGCTTTACTGGACAATGCCAGCGGTGGAACGTTTGTGAATGAAAGCGCAGCAAAGGCTCTTGGCGTTGAAGGAAGTAGCACTGACCTCACTCTTACTACAATCCATGGAACACACAGCGTAACGACGAAGGCCATTGAAGGATTAGTCGTAGCTACTGGAAGGACGAGAGTTCAAGGTTAGAGTTGCCCAGAACTTTCACGCGAAACATCATTCCAGCGGACCGCAGTAAAATACCACGACCTGATGTAATCAGTAGGATGTCTCTTTTGAAGGATGTTAGTGCCGAACTTTCCCCCTACATGGAAGATGTTGAAGTGGGTGTTCTTATCGGATTGAACTGTCCAAGTGCCTTACGACCAAGAGAAATTGTTTACGGTGGAGAATCAGATCCATATGCTGTACGGTCGCTGCTCGGATGGTACATAAACGGTCCTCTATATACTCCCTGTCAGAGTAGCATCTTAACGTGCAATAGAATTCATCTTAATCAGCAAGACACCTCATCCCCGCGAGGATATGTAGTCTCTCAAAGGACGGTTAAGGAACAGATAACACCGAAGGCAGTTGAACGAATGTTTGAACTTGACTTCTCCGAAAAGGAAAAGGGAATATCAATGTCGCGAAGACATCAAGTTCTACGAGACTGTGGAAACTGGTATACAACTATAAAAAAGGAGTCTTGACTATAGAAATTTCCACGCGCTGCTAACTTCGTAGGACAAAAGTTGCAGATATTCTTTGTCACGCGGTGTCTATAAAAATTTCCATGTAATACTTCTCTAATTAGACAACGATTTTATATTCATTACATTTTCTGCCAAAAAGAGTCTACAGAAATTTCCATACGTTCCTTAAACTTCTTTTGG